ACGCACGCACGCACGCACGCACACACACACACACACACACACACACACACACACACACACACACACACACACACACACAGAAGATCGGAAAGTGATGCTGAAAATCAAACAGATGGGGCATGCAATTGGGCTTGAAATGTGAGACCTTGTGTTTTTGTTTCTGTGTGTCTTGGTGCGTAGTACACGTATGGATATCGTCCATTAATGTGATGAACTCATGCGGTGCTTGTTGGCCCGCCCACCTGCCAGCACGCCACACGCGTAGACGAGTCCGATCCTCGCCGCCCCGTGGACCATTTCCAGGGGGACTCCCACCAGCAGCTGCATGGCCATGTTCAGGCTCAGGTGTTCAATCCTATCACACACACGCACACGAAGACACACACAGAGAATAATCAGGAGATAAAACGCGTCAACTCTCAAGGGAGACGTAGGATTTAAAGCTAAAGGTAATGGAATATAATTAGTGGGTATCTAACGTTTTGTGGGCATGCTTGACCAGTTTAATCAACTGCAGTGTAGGGGATGTGTTCCACACCCACTAGTGTTAGGGGAAATATGTGTGATGCAGGGAGACCAGATACATTTCTTCATTTAATAGTTCTACCTTTCCCGCGCAATTTAAACACATGCAAACGAAAAGCAGAATCTTTTAATTAAGTTTTTTTTTAATGTGGCTTGCTTCCCTTGTTAAACTTTATTACCATTAAGTAATGTTAATTTATTTTCTTTGCAAAAATGTTTTTCCAAAAGCACCTTTGTAATTCCGATAAATTCATATCATTAATAAATCTATTTTTATGGCAAGCCGTAGGAATAATACATGCCATAAGGAAGTTTAAAAGTGCTTTGACAACAAGTTCCCAATGAACAACCATGAAAGCAAGAGTTTGCAAAAAAAAAAAAAAAAAAAAAAGTGACCAAATCCAATTTTGTCATAATTGCAACAAATGTGAGAATGACCTGACAGTAGAACATTTGTAAAATGGTCTGTGAAAAAGAATCCGGACCTACTGGCCACATTCCGACTCTTATTTGATTTGAACAAACCACCACGTCAGAGGAAAAATAACCCATCAATGACTGAGGGCTTAAATGTACACGTAAATAGATAAATATTGTTCCGGTTTAATGGTACTAAATCCGAATTCTCCACTTCGAACTGTAGTCAGTGCAAATATGGTCAAATATTTGTGTTTTCAGGAAACATGATGCTTGTTATTGTGCAAGCAATATTGAAAAAAAAAAATCTATTTCCACACAAAAAACACTGTGTATACACATACCAAGGCAGGACATAAACATTTCCTGCGACCTTCAGAGCTGTAGCGCGCTTCATTCCAAACCTCATTTAAGCAGCAGACCCGCACTCATTTGTATCCAAAATCCAAAAGCGCAGCTGCCATAATAATCTCGCCTCTCTTTTCCGATCCCTCATTTGCTCGTGTTTGCCGTGTGAATAAAAGCACCAGCTCTGCTTGATGTTTGCTGAGGGATAAATGACAAACTGCAGTAAATAGGGCCGACGTGGCGCTTAAAAGCGGCATGTTTTGACTGCGATGAGCACACAACAAAGAGCGGCGGCAGGAATGAGTGCAAAGCGTCCCAGCAAACAAACACGCAAACAATTTCCACCAAGTGTGCCAATAATCTATTTAGTGCATGACAAACCATCGCCAGATGGTTGAATGATCACGGGGGGAGGAGGCATTGGGGTGGCATTGATTGTAATCACACAAGGGCATCTCCAGGGCAAGATAACAGCAACTGACACGCTGAGGGAAGACCTCCAATCTAAGGCAAAACCGACTGATATCACGGACTCACCGGAGTTAAATTTAACCCGCTTGTTCTGAAGTCACCGGATCGCAAATTTCAGTCTCGCGAGATCTGCTAATGACGGACGGACACGGATGCCAGAGGGTATCTTGCCAGGTCCTCTCACATTCCAAAAAACATGTGTGGCAGGTTAATGGAACACGCTAGAAGTGTCCCGAGGTGTGAGCGTGAGTGCGGAATGTTGTTCGTTTATGTGTGCCTTGCAATTGGCTGGCAACCAGTTCAGGGTGTCCCCCGCCTACTGCCCAAAGACGGCTGGGATAGGCTCCGGCACCCCCCCGTGACCCTTGTGAGGATCAAGCGGATTGGAAAATGGATGGATGAATGAATAGATGATTTTGTGTTGTGGTTGTAGTTTGCCATACAACTCACCCAGTGTGCATGAAAATGTAGCTGAGGTACCTCCAGGCCTGGGCCCGGAGTTGGGGGTGGTAAGGTAGAGGACTCTTAAGGAATGATGGGCTGGACACCTGCAGAACTAGGCGGTCCAGGTGACATCCATAATAAAAGAAAACAACTACCTAGGGCAGGAAATACAGACATCGGCAGTTATTTGACAACCCGACCAATTATAAACATCAGTCATGGCAACTTTGAGGAAAGAAACTCTGACAAGAAGTAAAAAGGTGTGTGTGAAAGCAGACAACAGACAAGGGGAAATAAATAAGATCCAGTCAAACCTCCAAAGTGGAACATTTTAACATTTGGATTGTCAGCCAAAATAAAGTCAAAAATGATCACCATTTGATGGCTTTCTGTCGGAACATCACAAGGAAATCAATCGGAAAAACATACCAGTAGAGTTATTTCTTGATCACATAGAAAAAGAAAGAAAAAAAAGATGAAATCATGATCTTGATGTGTTACATGATGAAGACGTTTGGTTAGACTTTTGAGGAAGTTAAATGGCGACTGAACTTCAATTTGTAAGACTTAGTTCCACTTTGGAGGTTTGACTGTACAAATCGAATCAACTCAAACTCCAGCAGTTGACTGATGAGCCCGTCAATAGTATCAAGCTGTGCAACCTCAATACTAACAGACTTGGAGAAATCATATGGTGCTAAAGAAAAACAAAAAACAAAACAGTGGACCAACATTGTTGTCATGGCGATGCATCTGCTATCTAAGCCCCCCCCCCTCCCCCACTTCACATTAATAAGACCGAGTAGAGGCACTGACTGACTGAAAATGGCTTCTAGGTGACATTATCATTAAAAGAGGGTGAAGATTTCAAGGTGGTTGTCATTGTCAAACAACAATTAAACATTCGCCATAATAGTAACCGATAGTGTGGAAATCATTGTATTTGCTCTTTTCCTGAATTATTCTTATTTTTAGGTGGTACTTGGTGTAAAACGTTTGAGAACAACTGTTCGAACATTTCGTATCTAAGATCGAATTGGATCATTTACCTCAAGAATGGTGATGGTCAGGATCAGCCACGGAGGGGGCCAGTAGTTGTAGCTGTCAAAGTACCACTTGCGATCCACTTCCCGCGGCAACGTCTCATAAGCAACGTGTCGGACCAGGCGCTGGGATAGACCCAGACCGACCTCATCCCGCAGACTGCTGCCCTTTAGGTGCCTGCCCCCCTGGAGGATTGCTCTCCGGAAGCTATTGGAACGCTTGTTACTCATCTGGAAACAAGGGACATTTGAATCGAAATTTAACGCACCCTACTGAGAAGTGCACTCGCCTGACTTTGATGCAGACAGTCTGAGTTGAGTTCCCACACTGAGACAGTCTAAGTGTGAGTCTGAATGGTCGTCTGAGTTCATATGTACCTTGCAATTACCTGACCAAGTCAATAAATGATTTTTGATTTTGCGCAGGAAGCAACCCAGGCTTCCTTCCTGACACGCAAAGCTAATCACCCACTCAGGATGTATCACTTCATCAAAGTTCTTTGGACCAAATGTAAAAGAATCAAAAATAAAAGAATTGGCCTCGCTGCTCCAAAACGTTTGGAAGGGAGCATCCTCCGTCAACTCTCCAAATCCACTCAATGTATGACTAAAGTCTGATGACGCAGCTTTCCGAAAACAGGCAACACAGACTATAGAATACCATTATCATCACCTAGCAACCAACAAAATCCCTTCCCCTCACCGCTGTCTGCCTCCAAGGAGTTCAACCCCCCAAATGTCCCTTTTATTGGGGTGGCCAGCTCAGTCTTACACAGTGGAGCCATGCCATTGCTTTCATAGTTACTCTGTAAAATTATGATTTTTTTTTTTTTTTTTAAAACACAAAGTAGAAATTAATGGCCGAAGATGATATATGCTCCACCAACAGTGAAGCTCTGCAGTGCTACTTTCGTAAATGTGCCTTTGGGCTGAACTGGCCGTGTGCTTTAACGACAATCTCCATGACAACATAATGATTGCTTCCTCACTTCTCTCCTGCAGTCGGCCTCACCTTCCACCTTCTTATTTCTATTTCATGGACCGTAGATCAATTCTACTTTTGTTTTGTGGGCCCCCCCCACCCCCCAGCGCGTGGAAACTGGTTATAAGGGTAGCGAAGGTTCAGGTGCGGCAGAAAATCTCAAATGGAAGTGGTAAAACAAGTTATTCTGTCACATGACATTAATTTAAGGGTTGATCAAGGGCCCTGTGTAAGAGTATATGATTCAGCTTTATGATGATATTGATGATGATGATGATATTTGCTCCATATACAGTACTTTGTATACAGCGATGGCGGTTTTAAAATACAGTTGAGTTGAGTTAAAAAAAAAAAAAAAAGAAGAGGAAATTGTTATATATAAAAAAAAAATAGTCCAAAACACTCAAAGGCCAGGAGTGGATGGAGATGCTTTCAAGCACATGCCTGTCTTTCTATTAAAAAAACAAAACAAAACAATCCAAAAAAAACTTTGCATTTCACTGAATCAAAATAAAACATTTGGAAACTTGGAAAAACAATGAGCCACATTTCCCCCTATTTTCTTAACATGTTATGGAGCAAACCAGTAACCAAATAATGATATGCGGATTTTAGACCGTGTGAATTTGAAATAATTGTCAACCTCCTTTTGGACATTAATACGTAGTTGTTGTCAAATCTGATTCATCAGTTAACTGTCAAAATAATCGACAGATGAATTGATTTTGAAAAATGTTGGTTCCAGCCTTACTTCCAATAAAAGCAGTCGTAGTAATGAAAAGAAAAATGGACATTTAGCCCTACCACGCGACACAAAGCTACCCTATACTACTGCAATGTCATAGTGGTCATGATGGTAGCCTTGCCTTTCCAAACTATTCCCACAAAGTCTCAATACTTTTATCCATTTCACGTAGAAAGAGCTGACTCAACAACGGCGCATAGTTGCAGACTTTAATGAGATGATGACTTCAGTCTTGATTCAGACAAAGATTTCAGAGAATCCATTCAGTACTCGACAAGGCGTCATATTCAACTCTTTGGCTGCATCACCATGTCATTCCATGACATCGGGGTATATTTTCAGATATCAGCATTTTGGGAATAATTTGGTCTGATAGGATTTGGCAATTATTGTACAGTCCATCAGTGTTTGATTGCATTATAAACGTCTTTCTTTTTTTTTTTATAGCTTTCAAGTGTTGTACCATTAGAAAAGCAATTTTGTCTAGAATATTTGACGCGTTGGATCTGGTTAGGTGTGATGGATGTTTTAGAGCGATAGATTGTAACTAAAATGAACACATCATCACCTCCATGCGGGGGAAAAAAATACCTGACTACCTAGTGGTGCTGTGTATTTTTGGACAAGTTTGAATTTAATGTATGACAGAAGCTGAGATAAGCACCTGATGCACGCTTGAGAGCATGCCATAAAGAAATTAAGTTTAAAAGTGGAAGGGAGGAGGTGGTAGAAAAAGAGGGATGGAGCAGTGAATCAAACATTGTCATCAGGCAACAAATCGGTATTCTGCCAGAAGGTCCCAGGAAAATGTGGTCCCGAGGATGAACAATAACACTGACCTTGAATGAAACAGAGTGACTCCAGTCAAGCATTTTGTTCAGCAATTTTGTGGATCTTTTCACATAGCTGACTTTTCTCGGATGGAATATATTCCCAATCGGTGCCACAATCACCCAGGGACTGCCCAGGATGTCTACCTTTCTTCCAAAGTCAAGTGACAGGCAAATATTAGAAGCACAGAAAGTGGATGGAAGTTAAAACATGAGTTAAAACCTAACCCCTAAAGAAAATCCCTCGAAAAGTTAATACATTAGTTAAAACCTAACCCCTAAAGAAAATCCCTCGAAAAAAAATCATTATTAAATCCTGTTACAGTTAACTCCAGGGGAAAGTTTGAACAAACTGAAGGTCAAGCAGCCTTTTGGAACGAATCATGTTTGACTTGACTGCAAATGCCCAAGTATGGGGTGCGCTGGATGTTTGCTTGAAGGGAGACGTTGAACAAGAATCAGCAGGCAGCAGTTTCAAGGTCAAAGCTAAAAAGCGGCGCAAGGTGCGAAGCAAGAGAGGAAATGTATCATCTGTCAGAAATTCATTTCCCATTACGCCGTCTTTACATCTCAAAGCTGAACTTGGAATACAGATGCTCAATGCAAACATGCTAATCAAGTTATCTTGTTTCTCCCCTACCATTAGAGAAACAGTATTACGGGTAATCTATTTTTGTTGTTAGTTTAAGAGATACATTGTGTATCATAAGTGACTGATGGACCACCAGGCAGACCAAACGATGGCATACAAGTCTAACTACAGAAATCGTGACAGTCTCACCAAATTGACAAAGTCCTGGTAGCAGATTTTTCCGTCAGAGTTACCATCGGCGAGGGCCAAGAGGACTTCCAGCTTGTGGGGGTCCAGCTCTGAGCCATGCGTCGCCAACAGGTCCCTGAAGCGCTCTGTACTGATGAAGCCGGAATTGTCCGGGTCATACTATAGGTAAACACACATATTAAAACAAATGAGGCAGACTTATTAACAAAATCAGGGATGCCATCTGTTTTCATTAAAGGGATGAATAGGGCACAATAACAAATAAGTTCTTTATCCATCCATCATTCAATCCATCCATCCATCCATCCATTTTCTGATCCGCTTTATCCTCACAAGGGTCGCGGGGCATGGTGGATGGAGCCTATCCCAGCCGTCTTCGGGCAGTAGGCGCCTATCCCAGCCTTCGGGCAGTAGGTGGGGGACACCCTGAACCGGTTGCCAGCCAATCGCAGGGCACATACAGACAAACAACCATCCGTGCTCACGCTCACACCTAGGGACAATTTTAGAGTGTTCCACTAATCTGCCACACATGTTTTTTGGAATGTGGGAGGGCCTGGAGTACCCGGAGAAAACCCACGCAGGCACGGGGAGAACATGCAAACTCCTCAGAGGGAGGCCAGAGCCGAAATCAAACCCTGCACCTCTGCACTGTGAGGACGACGCGCTAACCATTCTAACACCGGACCGCCGTTGGAAAATGTAAAAATAAGAATTCTGTACATTTTTGAACAGCATAGGAAGCCATGTAGAAAAGTGCTCGATGAAAAAAAACAAAACAACAAAAACCCGTTCAGGCACCTGTTCCACAGGTGATAGCTAACATGTGACTGTCGCCACTGCAAGCAATTTCCAACATGACACTGTTACCCACGAGTGTTCGTTAAAGTGCAGGAACCCCCACACCCCAAAAAAAAAGAAAGTCAGCAAGACAACAGGCAGCAACACGCAGCTTGGCAAGCTGCCATGTTCTACTCTCTACGGACCAACGGAAATAATGAACTTCAATGCTACAGCAGACACACTGCCAATATTGCTTTGTGAGTGGTGTGCGTGCACAAATAGAGTATTTATTGATTTTGAACCGGACAAATGTTCACACCCTCGGGGGCAGGTCGATGCCTTTTGAGTACCCCCCTTCATTAAAACGTTTCGTCTTTAGTGGGTTGCTTTTATCGGACAAATATGGTACTGAACGTGTAAATAATAGGACGGGTGCATATTGGAGCAGAACACATTGCCATTTGCGAGAGCATCTGTTCTCAAAGGGGAGGTGTGGCAGCTTGAAAAAATAAATAAACCGGAAATGTTCAAGGCAAAATATGCAGTTTTTTTGTTTTGTTTTTTTTTAGATCCACAATAAGACGCTTTCTAGGGTGGGGAGGAAAACTCTATGAAAAGGAATTTACTTACAAGGTCGTGACCTTGGAAACCTGTTTTGAGAAACGTGCACTTTGAGTTACGAGCTTGGTCAAACAACAAACTAACATCTTATCTCAACGACTGACGGCACCAATATCCCGCACCTTACGTCCTGTTCGATAAATTGCCGCCGAATCGGTGATCAACGACAAAGTGGAACCATACCAGACCACAGTTTGTTATTTCACACGAGGCAGTAAACCGAATGTTGATATTGCGTGGGAGATGCACAGACGGCTGTTACTGTCTACATGCACCGGAATATTACATTTAGCAAGTGCGCTCGTACCAAACGCGAGGACAACAGTCAAAATATTTAACATCTGCTGCAGAGGAGGCGGCATGTACGTATTCGCTCCCTGATGAGGAAAAAAACAAAAAACAAAAACAGGCTGACTATGATTAAACTTGCACTGCATCTCTTAACACCCACAATATTGTCCCCAGGAGAGTACACCAGATACACAGTGACATCTACTCCTAACACTCACACACACACACACACGCACACACACTTTCGCTATTTAAAAGTGGAAGTGAAGCATTAGTCCACAAAAAGAACCAACCTTCTGTTGCAGTACATCAGCCAGATTGTGCTGCAGGCATTTGCCCATGACGAAGTAAAAACATTTACAGTAAGCAGGGTCACCGCTAAAACAATGCAGATGAGTGCGTGTGTGTGTTCTCATTGTCATATTGTTTGCGGCAGACCGCGCAGGGTCATTTCCAACCAGGGCGAAAGGATTACAGCTCAATCCAGGACCCTCACAGGACACCTCCCCCATTGCCCTCCCCCAATACACACACACACACACACGCACACACACACACAAACTCACTCATATTCTTTAAAACCATCATCAGACCTCTCCCCATGCAGAGCTGACGTTTGTTTGCCTGTGACACCAAACCAAGTGGGCCACACCGATCAAACCAGATAATAGGATGCTTGATAACGTCCAGCATTTGGAGTGACGTTTACTATATAGCAAGAGTCACCAAGTCCAGTCCTCGAGGAAATCTAGCCTACATGTTTTAGCTGTTGCTCTGTTCGACAGCCAATCACGGGGAACATAGGGACAAGCAAGCATTCACACTCGCACTCGTTATCTGAATTGAACCCATACTGCCTGCCCAGAAGTCAGGCGGGTAAACCACAACTCCGTCAGTGACTTCAACCCAGCTTTCCTCTGTTCCCTTTCTCCACAGCCAACCTCCAAACAGAGCTGCTCTGCGACAGACAACTTGTATTTACTTAAAAAAAAAAAACAAAACAACAACAACAACAACAACAACAAAAAACCCCGATAATCAAGGTGTAAAAACAATTCCAACTATTCCACTAAATAGATGACCGACCTCCATTTTGATGGATCATGAGACATTTACATAAAAGTGCGAATGTCACACATCTGCGAAACAACTTCAGAATGTAGTGGCACAAGTACCAAATCAGAATAAATATGTCGCAAATAAACAGTTAATCTGAGATCTTCAATTAGAATCATTTCAAATGTAACAAAAAAAAAAAAATGCCTAAACTCAATTTACAGATCAAACCAGTATTTGAATCATAATCAATTTATGTTTGTGCATTTACTGAATTCTCTATTTGAAACAATGTCCTGTTTTGTTTTGTTTTTAAAAGGGGGGAAATTCTTATTTTTGTTCCCCGATTCATCAATTCATTGAAAAATAAATGATTATCAAGATTGACGGATTTGGGGGGGTTTATTACCTTGTGTCTGCGTGAAAATAATTTAATTTAAACGAGTTTTTAGTTGAGGGCATTTGAACCCTTTCATGCACCCGGTAACCACTGTAGTAACCGCTGTCCCACAAAGGGTTAATATTATTTGAAACAAAGTTACTTATTACACCAAATCAGAATAAATATGTCGCATATAAACAGTTAATCTGAGATTTTCAATCAGAATCATTTCAAATCTAACGACAAAAAAAAAAACTGCCGAAACTCAATTTACAGATCAAACCAGTATTTGAATCATAATCAATTTATGTTTGTGCATTTACTGAATTCTCTATTTGAAACAATGTCCTGTTTTGTTTTGTTTTTAAAAGGGGGGAAATTCTTATTTTTGTTCCCCGATTCATCAATTCATTGAAAAATAAATGATTATCAAGATTGACGGATTTGGGGGGGTTTATTACCTTGTGTCTGCGTGAAAATAATTTAATTTAAACGAGTTTTTTAAATGACATTTTAGCCTCCAGGTGATTGACTGAGTCCAAATAAAGAAACATTCAAGCAGCTTGTGAAATCATTTTCAATAGTTCCAACATATAATGAACATTTCATCTTGAAAATATCAACCAAGAAGTAAGAAAAGAAAAATCAATCGCTTAAACACAGAGTCTATTATCGAGTCTGCACTTCTGTTAAAGTTTGGATTTCACAGACATGCTGGGTGAGATTCTCTTCCATGGGTACCCGTTGTAAAACATACTTAAAAAATTCTCTATTTTTTTTTTTTTAAACATCATTAAAGTTCATCAGTGGCAGTTAACGGTTGGATTCCAGTTGACAAATATAAACGTCCATGGCAGTGAAGGAGTTAATTGTAAAATAAATGGAAGCCCCGAAGGCTTTGACCAGATCTGACAGGATGCATGCTGGGAACTCTGTCGAACCCGGCTTACAGTGCACAGCGCATGGCAGTGATGGGCATGATTTACTGTCAACATGCATCTCCTGTCTCATTCTACGTGCTAGCTACCTCCAGGTACAAATACTGTGCAAAGAATGACTTCCATTTGGCTTGTGCGACATGACAAGCATGACGGGTAGAGTATTAAAAAAAAAAAAAAAAAAAACGGTGGCCTGCGGGAGTCGAAATGCCGCATGTTCGGATTGTAACATCCCCCTGCAGGCTGATGCGGAATGGCAGGCGTGACTGTGGCTAATCACCGTGGCAACTGGCGTGACAAGACCCACAGAGTGTGCGTGCACTACTATTATACTGGGTGTCCCGAAAGTATGTATGAATGCTTTAAATTAATGTATATTGCGGATGCTGTGAATAATGGAAAATAATTGTGAACTGTACAGACAGAGGGGATGGAAAGAAAGAAGAATGAGCAAGTCTAAGGAAGGCAGAAGAAAAGTAGGAGGGGTGAGGAGGGGGGGAAGGAAGGAAGAAAAAGGCAGGTCTGAAGTGGAAGGAAGAAGGAAGGGAAAGACTGCGGGAAGGAGTTTATGAGGAAGGCAGAAACGAGGAACAAAGGAGAGGTCCATTGTCGAGAGAGGGAGGTAACGAAGAAGGGTATATGCGAAGGAAGAAAAGCCAGGAAGAAAATAAAAAAAGTGGGACTGAGGCGAAAGGTAAGACAGTAAGAAAATTGTGTTCAAACGATGGAAGGAAGAGTGATTAAATTCAAGTGATGGAAATCAGGAAAGCAGAAAAGTCGGTTTAAGTGAAGGAAGGCAAAGCTGTAAGGATGCACAAAGAAAAATTTGGGCTAACGGAAGATAGGAGGGATGGAGAACGGAAGGAAGGAGATCAGCAAGGAAAAGATGCGGAGGTAAAAGAAGGCAGGAAAGATGTCCGGAAGGAGGGAGGGAACACAAGAACAAACAAAAAAGAAGGGCAAACAGTTTTTCATCGGAGAAAGGACAGAAGTAATGCAAGAACAAAAAGCAACTCTGAAGGAAGGGAAGGAAGGAGGTCAGGAATGAAGAAAGTGCAGGAGAAGCTGGCTAGTTTCCTTTACTAATT